CGCAATCGCATAATTTACTATTTTGGCTAAATCTTTGCAAAAAAAAAAGATTTTTAAATTACTTACTTAAAGGAAAAGAAAGACGAACTTCCCTAAGTAGTTACTAGACTCGATCATTACAATAATATTTCAGATACCAAAAATATGCGTTTTTTTCTTTAATCATCATTGTTTAAATTCCAATTTATTTTAATCAGAACAAAGCCTCTTCAGTTCAGTGAAACTTGGTTTGCAATTCAGAATTATTTCAAGTCTTCTCAAGTTCTTGTTATTTACTATGGCAAAAATACAATGTATTGATGAATCAAAAAAAAAAAAAAAAAAACTATGGAACTGCATTTCAAATTAAAAGAGAAAGATATACTTTTTTTTATTCGTTTCTAAAAGTATTCCTTTCTCATAATAGATGGTGGATGAAGAAAACAGAATTAAATATATTCCCATAAAATAAGGCAAATTTAGAAAGTATTCAATCAATTTTTTTTCTTCGATATAAAAAAATCATCAATTATTTTACGCACAAAATAACAACTATAAAAAAATACAAAAATAAATTTGGCTTTTTTAAAGTATAATATTTTGATCGCAAATCATTTCAAATGAGAGAAAAGGCAAATTTTTTTCTGTACTTAACTAAGCGAACAATCACTGCGTCATTAGAACCTTTGTGCCATCATTTAGAATAGGTTGTTTATTTACAAAATCTAAGACTATGTAGCAACTCAATTGTAACAGTAGAGAACGAAAATGGAAAAATAAAGAAATTAAAAAAGTCAGGTATTCCTATAAGCATTTTATATATTGTTATGGAAATTTCGAACTTGGCTTGCTTCTTATCCAAAATATATTGGGGTAGGAAAGATCATGTGTGGTTCAAGGTATATTAGACAACTACCCACAATAATGCTAAGTAAATCGAAATAACCTTGGCGGCCGATTTCGCGATATATTGGCTCACCCAATTCGACAACCAAACTAGAGCTTCAAGGCTAATCTGAAAGTGTTTAAGACAATTATCTGATTCTAGTAGATTGATATGTGTGTTGTCTTCCATTAGAAAAAATGCACCGGAATTACAGAGTGAAATGGCTTCGAAATGGCGTCACTTTTTCTCGTTAAAAAAGACGAGAGACGTTTCCCTGTATTAAGACATTCTCTCTTTAAGAAAACAAGAGAAGCAACTTCAGAATTTTGAAATTCTTTTTCAACTAAAAAAATAAGTCTTACATTAATACTGAGTGCGATAATGTTTGTTAAGGTCGTGCCATAAAGCAACACAAATGCTATTGGGGACGAACCTCGTCCTTATGAAACTGGGTCAAGTGATGAGGACACAACCCCTGAGATAGCACACCACCCTATCCAAACTACTACATCACACGAAACTTTGATACGAAAGAAAAATTCAATGAAACGGTTGCCCAATCGTTTTATACAGGATGTGGAAAAGTTCTGTCTTTTTGATACTCAGTGCATCATAAGATGAATGTAGACTCGTAACATTTTTATAAAAATGTTTAATCACTTTGCTTTTCACACGTGGTTGCTTAATTTGTGGAAGCACTATTGAAGAATGTGGAAAGCATTTTTACAAAGACACACTGACACCTTCAGCCTGCAAAATTTCACAATGCGTCTATCAGTGGGGCTCTTGCATATGGTTTTTAAATTGTATACTTAAGCAATGCTTATAGAAGTATTGAGAAAGGTCCTACAAAGAGACTAGCGTTGTGCTCCGTTCCTAAATAAATCAGAGTGACTTGATATTGCTAACCTTGGACTTTCACAATGCTCGTGTATAATTGTTTTACACCACGCCTGAACTGGAACTTTTCAATTGTATGGATTATCGTGCTGATAAATTAGTATCTCCTGAAGAGAACCCCGCCCCCCCAGCTTACTCAATTTGCCCGATTTTGCAATTCGGTTAGGTGTTTGTGAACTCTACAGTATAAAATACGTTGCATTTTTACTACAATTTCTTTTAAATAGATACAGTTACGAAACATTTTGAGCAACTTTTTAAATACTTTTAATAGCAAGAAGGTATGGACCATCAAGTAATGGAGCTTCTATATAACAGTTATAAAAAAGAGACAAACAGAAAAAAGACGTAAAGTTTTTGCTTTTAACGTCGGAGATATCCCAGGTACATGCACGAGTTATGGTACAGTTATAGGATGTTTTTTACACTAAACGCAGAAGTGGAAGAATTTGAATGTCAATATTTAATTTTCCAAAGAGTATAATATTTAAACCTCTATAGGTTTCATTCTTTTATTATATCGTCGGTATCAATTTCAAAAAGAAAATAAAAATAAAAATTTGTAATTCACGAGGTGTGTCTGGAAATTAAGTACCATTTTGGAAAAATTCGCATAAAAAAATCATTTTTTAAAGTAAAATTTATTTTTACATGAAAGAGCATGTCGGAAACTATTTTTCTACAAAGTTACCGCCATTATTCGGGCATTTTTTATATCGGGAAACCAACTTGTCCATACCACTTTTAAAGAAAGATGCCACCAGTGAACAGTTTTTGGAATTTTGTGGAAACGCATCACCCAGCGATATTTTTTTTTGTGTGTGTGTGTGAAACATCTGTTTTCATGAATTTTCTCAATCCCTTTTTCAACCCAATCATGATTGATAAGAGAAGACATTTCACTCAGTGATTCTTGATGATCACTGAACCCACTTTCTCGCCATTTCGTCACCCATTACATTTTCATCATAAATCTCTACAAGTTGACGATGAATTTCAATTGGCTTAACATTCCTCGAGTTTTAAATTAATGGAATACACAGAACGCACTTCGCAGTCTGCGGGATTGCCAATCATATAAAACATTTTGAACGCTCGCTAATACGTTCAAGAACAACACAGTGTCACTAAATTGACATTCTACCAGAGACAAGTGCGTAAGTGTTGAATATCTTGTTCAAATTTTCAATCGTTAAAGGTATCCGACTACGTTCGGAACCGTGATTTTGAAAAGCTTATAAATGGATGATATTTATGATATTTAGTTTCACTTATAGATTATAAAGCGAATATAAAGTTGTTTTAAGAATAATATTACACTAAGAAATTATTTAAGTACAATATTTTGACAAAAAATGAACAGAGAATGACCCATTTTCAAAATATTCTCCTTTTATGAAAAATGTTTATTGTAATAATATTTTGCCTGTATACAGCTCAGAACTCTGTACAGAGTCTCAACTAGAATTTTTCAGATATTTATAAACATTTTACTACAACAGAGGGGAGAAATTTTAAGAAAAGAGCGTCGATAAATTTTTCAATGGGTGAAAATAATGTGAATTTTTCAAAAATCCTAGTTCAGACTCTCTGGAGAAGTCTTTACTTTATACAAGCACACACACACACACAAAATATTATTATTATAGAAGCATTTTTTTAAAAGGAGAACATTTTAAAAAAAAAAGATTACTCTAAATTAATTTGTTCCCAAAACATTGTATTTAAATAATTTTTTTCGTCATAATGTCCTTATATAAAACTATTTCATTCATGCATTCTAATCTAAGTGACACTAAATATCATGAAAATTACCCATTTATGCGTTTTTTTTAAAATCACGGTTCCGAAAATAGTCGGATACCTTAATAAAATACTTTCTATTCATCCACATTCAAGTTCAAATACATCTTTTAAACTTGCAGTGGATGACACTTTATGTTAATACAGTTCTTTCAAATATTAATTCAGTTATTAAATTAAAAAATGAATAAACAGCAACAAACAAAAATAATAGTGCAACAGCATATATAGAAAAGAAAATCGCTCGTTGTTTCCTTGTAGCGCAAAGAACAGCGCGTTGGACTTCCAATCCAAAAATCGTACGTTCGAATCTTACCTGGGGTGGCCTTATTTCTGATAATGGGATTCATGAATGAATAAATAATAACAAACAAAAATAATAGTCCAGCACCAATACATTGAAAGGAGAACGGAAGATTTCAAGGAAAATCGCTTTCTATTTTGCCACTTAATATATTGTGATTATGTCATACATATTTATATTAATTGCAATTATTTAATAAAATTTACTAAAATAAAATTTTTTTTGTTGACCTAAGTAGGAATTGACTTGAAAATATATATATATATATATATTACTTGCTAGAATGAAAATTTGAAAACTGAGAATAAGCTACCGCTACTACGTAAAATTCGAAATCGAAAAATTTGTATATTTGAGAGTAATACTAAAACAATTCAATTATTGAATTAAAAACCCACCATAAAAAATCCCATCAAAATCCAATTCCATTCTAAAATGAGTGAGTGAGTGAATTTTTTCGTCGCACTGTTGAGCTACTTGAGGGCATTTTTTTGGCGAAACTTCTCGTCATTTTGAATCATAGTCAAGTGACGAGGACGACGTCTGAGCTGGCACCCTCCTCTCCTAACTACCACATCCACGGGAGGACGTTTGAGCTCTCGACAGATTAACATGCAAAGCTTCCCTACACGGCGGGTCTTCAGCGATACACAACGGCTTGAACACATGGCCCGACGGCCAGGAGTCCGTTACCTTGACCACATTCTGAAATGGGAGTCTCATTTTACAGGAATTTGAGTTTCCTTATGAAATGAAAGGATGATGACATTATGATGTATCATTTTTAATTACTTTCTTTGATTACTTTTTTCAGTTATTTCACGGAGTTTTGAGGGTGAATTCAGTTTAAATATCGATTTCATATTTTCTCCTTAAATTAATTTTAGAAGTTATGGTAAATATTTTACAAAAAGCAATTTACACAATTCAATTACAAAAAGTATTCCTATACGAAATCGTTCAATAGCAAATAAGACAAGTTTGCCATTTGAGGATTGTGGAGATGTTGAAGGAGGATATGGCAAAGTAGCTCAATAAAAACTTTATTTACAATTCACAAAACAAAAATCGAAATGTATTTAAACACAAAAGTCAGCGAGGGAGTAAATGAATGAGTGAATATTAACGTCGCACACGAGGGCTTTGGGTGACGGACCACGTCATTTTGAACTATGGTCAAGTGACGAGGACGACCCCCTCCCTTTCCTAACCTCCACTCCACATCAACGGGAGGACGTTTGAGCTCTCGACAGATTTAACGTGCATCGCTCCCCTTCACGGCGGGTCTTCAGTGGTAATGGGCTCGAACTCGCGACATGCCAGCCACGATCCGATACCTGGGCCACAAGGCTACCGGGGCCACCACAAAAGTCAGCAGACGGTTTAGATGAACTGTAGCTGAACAACTGCAATAATTTGCATGTACGCGATCGGCTTAAGTTCATAGTGGTCAAATAAGTTTTACGAGCCTTACAGGATAATTAAAATTAATATTTTGTTTCCCACTCCATCCAATCTATCCTTTGTGTATTGTTTCAACCCCAATTACTGGTGAAGTGCTTTTGTAAAATACAATTACATAAATTGCATTTTGACATTGTTAAATAAAAAAACCTTCTGCTAAATCTCATGCGTAATCGGGTGAAAAGCAAACAATTGAATTCAATGTCAACTGTAGAACAGAAAAAACCGAAATTTTTTGCCCGTTTAGAGTGATGGAGAGATTCCGTTGAATTCTCCTTTGCTTTCATAGCATTTTACAATGCATAAAGGCCTTCTTTAGACTTCCATTCGGAACGCGTATCAGGAAAAAAGTAAAATATATTTATGAAAATTCGTTACTTTCATAATGCATTATATTTCTTCAAATAGTATGAAGGTTTCAATGGAGCCGTCTTTTATTCTTATGACATTTTGCATTCATAGATGCCATGCATTTATGGACATTGGAAAAGTGCATCGATAAAATAAAAACTTCAATAATGCGTGTTTATTAGCGTCGCACTGTAAAACAACACTACGGCTGTCCAAAATGCCGTTTAGGGAAACAAATTCCTATCCAAATTCTGTTTCTTATATATTATTAAACATGATTTCATTTCTTAAAATTTTAAAAACTTGCGCGATCATTATTCCTTCAACGTTTAATAATTATATATATATATATATATATATATACACACACTAAAGAAAGGGAAAAAAAAACACTTTTGTTAAATTTTAAGTCTGTAGATCTAATAGGTGATAAAAAGGATTTTTTTTTTATTTATAACTCCCCGTAACACACTTGAGGGTCGATTTTTGAAAATACCTCCCTAAGCTGATCTCTGCTCAGCAAAAGTAACACATTGTTAAAAGTTTTGCGTAATGAATGCTCAAAATAGTGTAAATAATTTATATCTGAAAGTGTAATACATTAATATTACTTTCTGTTGTATTTAATTTGTTAAAATTATAATATTCGCAAGCAACGCCGTTTCTTAAATTATAATGGCGATTCAATGAAAACATAGCGAATTGTTAGCGAGAGAGTCAAGTTGGCAAATGTCTAGCTACTTTCATAGCTCGAGCTTTATTAGAGCTTTGTAAAACCCGCCGTGTAGGGGCGCGATGCACGTTAATGCTTTATCTACCGCATTATTATTTACTGCAAGTTTTTCATGCAATATTTATTTATTTTTTGGATCACTACATTGAAAATTAAGGGATATACATAAACAAAATACTCCACTTTGGGAAATTTAATCCGTTACAGCTAATAAATTAATTAAAGATATTCCACTATATAAAATTAACTATATACACCGTTTACTTGAAATAAATAGTCAAATCGTTTTCTAAGGTCTTCATTAACATACAAAAACATAAGACACTTAAATTTTGACATAAACTATTTTTTCGGGACAAAAATAATAATCTTTGCAATCTAATGAAAACGCCGGCAGCTGAAAACGCACAATATCTTCTACAAAACTATTCGCCTTCCCCGCTAAAATACTCATCATAGAACTCGTGCTACCATAAATCTAGGAAGGGTGGATTTTAAAGAATATTCTTGCTAAGTATTGGTAGGATATTCCTTCTAAGTTTGTGTGGTGTGGTAGTTAGGAGAAGGGGGTGCCAGCTCAGGTGTCATCCACGTCACTTGACCATGGTTCAAAATGACGTGGTCCGTTGCCAAAAGCCCTCGTGTAGCTGAACAGTGCAACATTATATAATATTCACTCACTCACTCCAAAAAATACAATACAGTAGTTATTATTTTTATACTTAAAAGATGCAATATAATTAACGTTATAATTATATCTAGCGTTATAATTTTATTAACATTTATATAATAGCTTTATAATTAACTACTAACCGCAAACAAATTATGTAGTGTGAAAGACGAAGTTTATTTACTTCAAGTACCAGAAGCGATAGAAGTATTTATTTTGCTATAAGCATTAATTTCTTATGGTTCACGCATGAAAAAAATCAATAGTAGCTATTCACACACACAAATAAAGAGAGATTTAAAACAACCTCTCCCTTCAAAGCTTCGTTTTATTCTGACATAAAAAAATAGGGATTACAGTGAGCACAGGAATAAATTAGAAGCCAGTGCCTTCCGTAGACAAAACAAAAAATTTTCTTCAGAAATAAAATATAGATATTGATGTCGTGGTCTTTTTTGCAGCGCGCGTCATAATTGCTTGCAGATGGTAGTATTTTTTCCTACTTACTTGACAAATATCGTTATATTTTGGACACACTTCACACAATATCTTTATAAATTATAGCCTATGTGTTATTCTGTTGTATAAGCTATATTACTGTAAAATTTTATGAAAATCCATTAAGTTATTTTTGCGTGAAAGACGGACAAACATCCTCACAAACTTTCGCATTTATAATATATATCCAGATTTACAGAATTTTTAAACACACTGACGCGTAACTTTATTATTTACAGTATAATAGATTGATATTAATAACATTAATAGAAAAATAATTCCATTATATTAAATATAATTTTATTTCATTTATAAAAATTTTCATCTGTAATTCCATTCATTAAATTATGTAATTTTATTTAAATCATCAGTAAAGTATTAATAGTAGCCTTAACACAAAAGAGAATCCATTTATAGCATGAACATAATTTTAATTTTAAATTAATACCAATACATCTTTTTACTCTTTGTTTTAAAAAAATACACGTGTGCGTGAAGCGTTCTTCCCCTGCTAACATTTTGATTAAAGGATCTATAGGTAGTAAGGACTTCAGTCATCCATGCTGCTTGAACAGAATTTTCTTTTGTAGGAGAATGCATTGAGCATCATGCGCTTTGCATGTTATTCAAACATGCCAAAGACTTTCGATATCGATCTCAGAAGTGCACAAAGGGTGGAATATGTGAATGGGTTTAATCCGCGCTTGTCATTTCAATTCATGACCGCAACTGTCACAACTATTGCAGGGGCTCAGCTTGAAGAGATTGCTTTCAGAAGGATATCAGATGTGCATGTGCAGACTCAAGAACTAAACATCAAAAAACCGGAGATCTCCAATGTATCAAAGTTTTTGGAAACACAGAAATTTGTGTTACTTTAATTTAACCAGACGTTTTCATCGATTTTTAAGGACATTTTGAAAAAAAAAATCAGTTATAACAAAATTGTTTTATACTTTGTTCTCCTTTATCTCGCTGAAGACAAAAAGAAGTCTTAGCCATATATGTAGGTTGATTTTTTTCCCATTTAAAACCTTAGAGTACATTTTACTTTAAAAGAAAATACAGTTGAACCTCCATATTGCAAATTTTTCTGTATAGCAAACTTTTTCCTGGAACCAAGAACATTTCACGGTTTTCTTCGTAAAATAATCTCCCAATAGAGAAGTGCATTTTCTATATAACGAACTTTTTTTCTTGTGATTCAATTTTTTTTATAAAATATTTTTGGACATTTCACGTTATTCTCTCTTTTAACACACTTTATCGTGGTCATCAATCTTGAACGGTTTTATTAAATACCT